CTCAACTCCCCCCCCCCCCCCACTTCAAAGCAAATCGGTGCGTACCTGTGAAGCTCGGTTCAAGTCTTCAAGTGGCTTTTCTTGATACTACTACATGAACTACATTTGGACCAAGTTCATCTGAAAAGGACCAACTCACTTTTCCGAAAAAATTGAGCTAAGAATGTTTTTGAGTTCCACTTGTCGTATGTATTCCCCAGCCAAAAACTCAAAGTCGAGAAAAAAAAAACTGTGTCAAGAGGGGTTAAAGTTTATTTTCTACATTGAACTTTATGAGGATATAAAACTGCAAACCTATTTTTCTGTTTCAACTTTATGTGAGTTGGTTCATCTCTGTTAAACTCGGTCCATTTTCACGACTTTGCTTGCAAGCATAAAGGAATAAAGTCGATTCGATGGACGCCATATTTTGTGTCAGAACGGCATGCGATATATCGCATCAATTGGTTCCATTTTTTCAGCTACTCGTCATTTTTCTCCGATTTTGAGATCGCAATTCTGTTGTCAAGAGACTAAAGCACTCACTTACCAATTTTAACAAAGAAATTCAACGTAATAAGACCGTGGTTTTTTAGAGAGAAAATGTCGCATTCGAGTGCAGTTTCGATATCAGTATCGAATGCGATTTTTTCTCTCTAAAAAAACCCCGCCTTTATTACGTTGAATTTCTTTGTTAAAATTGGTAAGTGAGTGCTTTCGTCTCCTGACAACAGAATTGCGATCTCAAAATTCGAGAAAAATGACGAGTAGCTGAAAAACGGAACCAATTGATGCGATATATCGCATGCCAATCTGACACAAAATATGGCGTCCATCGAATCACCTTAGGAGATTTTAGGTGTCTAGAAAAGAATCGTCAACTTCTTCCGGTGCAAAGCCAAAGGTTCTACTCCTTTTTTAATAGGTGGTATAATAAAATGGCGAAAGCCAAAAAAGCTCATATCGGTGCCTTCGCCGAATTAAAGAAGTGGCAGCACCTAAGAGCGAGATGTAAGGAGTAATAAACAAGTTGGAGCATGTTTTCGATTGAAAATCTTTTTTCAGTGATTTTTTTGACCTACCTATTCAAAATTATCTCTGTTGAAATATGGGATTCCCGCGGAATCAAATTTCCTTTCTGCGAGCAGTCGCATATGCTTAAAATAGCCTCGTTGGAAAATCGGCATCCCTCTTCCAGGAAATTATCTGGTCACGCTTACTTTTTAGTTTCTTCTCTTTTCCAGGGGCATCTGAAGGTTGAAAGAGGCACGTGTGACATCGAAGAGAGAGTTTATTCCATACAGATACTCACGAGAAGTGTCAGCAATAAATGTACCCTCAGTTAATAAAGTATCATACTTTCCAATTAATTGAAATCAAAAAAGTACATTGAAAGGTGGATATGGATATAAGAATGGACCACTAGACAAGGTACGAAGTTAAGCATTCTGATACATATTTCTTGCACGTAATTTCACGTAAAACACGATTTGCGCAACGAGAATATACTGAAATCCACCCCTAATTAAGATAAGATGTTTCTCTTCGCACACTAAAGTTTACCATGACAATCTCTGCGATATGAAAAACTGGCAACCACAATCTTGACGTTTTGACTCAGCTTTAGCAAATTATATACGCTCTGAGCGATAAATGGTGGGAAAAAACAATGTTCGACTGAGAAACCTGCCAAAACTGTTGCGAGGCGCGATTTGACTCACGTATAGAGAATTGCGTATCTTGTGACTGGGCAATAATTCAAAATTCCCGTAAACAATGTAAAATAAAAACGTTGATATCTTAGATAGGAGTTGATTTCAGTTCTTTTCGGAGCAAGAATCGTGTCTTACGTGATATTATCGTTGAGGAACATTTATCAGAATGCTTAAATTCGTACCTTTTTTGATGGTCCATTCAATCTAAAAAGGCAAACTTAGAGAACTTTCCTAATTTTTCTCGGAACAAATATTTTATCGGGTGAAACGTGGCAACGTTGGAATCCTCGCTTACTAAGTCCCATTATTTGATGCCGCGATTATATTAACGCGAGTTTGAATAATGCTGAAAAGTCAGTGCATCCGGCGGCGTTAAACGCTTATTAGCGCCTACAAGACTCTGGGAATACTTCACGCACTGCGCAAAACAATGCGGTCGGCGTGACACGCATATAAGCGCCTATGAGACAGCATGAATATTTCTCGCATTGCGCCAAACGCACCGCAGACGATCAGTTGGCGTGAAACGCATAATCCATTAATTAGACTGTGCATCAAAAAAGTACATTGAAATGTGGGCATGAACAAGAATTAGGCTAAAATTATTCGCACTGCCAACTGTTAAGTATCTCCACCACTCTGCACGGCCTAATTCGGCTAAACGATAAGTTCAAACTTTCCGAGAAAAAGTGAAATATTGGCGATATTATGCGTCATGTATTTGGTAGAAATTATTATTAAAGTTTTAGTTGCGTATACCCCCCTCCTCCCCCATCGCGGTCACGGTTTATGTGTGTTGCACAATGCATTCATCGTTTCTTTAAAATTCATCAAAGGTTAAAAGGTTGTAGAAAAAATTCACATGTGACGAATTTGAAGAATCTCATAACAGTCGTGTTCCTTGTAGGCTAGCCGCCTTTCACACTACGAGTGTTAATGAGTTAAAACTTAAGAATGTAAAATTTAAAAAAATTACTGTACTTCATTCGTCAGTTACATGTCTACTAATCTATAGGTTCCCTAGCTTTGAGTGTAAAAACTTTGATGAATTAATACTGCATGGTGCGTAGTATGTTCACCGAATACCAGTAAGTCAATTTTACCGTAGGTAAATGCAACCGATATAACTTTTTTTTTCCAAACTACGATTCGATTTAGCAAGTACGAATCGAGTTCATGTCACGTGCGAAGAAGTTTATATGCAGTTCTTAAAAGGTAATAACCTTCTTACTAGCGTCTGACTTATCAAACTGAGATAGTTGAAGTTCGCATTTTTTCCATGTGGGTTAGGTTCTTGTATCAAGAGCTGCCTTTTTTTGAAAATTCAAAAGTTCTTTCGAGAAAATATTTTTAGATTGTCCTTGAGAGATATAAACAAATCCCTCTGGAATGGATGTCACCGTGCAATGGAATGACGTTTTACATTTACCTTTAAGTATGTTCAAATTTATTCTTTCCCTTAGTCTATGTGACGCAATTTCACCATGTAGTCGTCACGGAGGCTTCCAAATCCTGTTTTTTGCGTCACAATAATTGAGGAAAAATCCAAGATAAATTCGTAGAGGTGTGGATTCACGCAATGCCCTAGATGCGAGGGACAAAAAGGCAGAGTTAGCAATCCAGTGCGTTGTCAAGCACAGTTCCTTTATAAAATAGCGAAAATTAATGTGTGCTCCTTCATCCATACTTTGTAAATATTTACATCTAATTGCCCTGTATTAATTATGTACACATATACTGCTTGTTCTTTTTTTTCTTGTTTCAGGTGTACCCAGGACCGACTGTACTCACACCAACCCGGCCAATTTTTGCTTTGGCCCGGCCTGGGACACCTGGAATAAATTATTTGTAAATTTGGACCCTGCCTCAGTGTCTAAACTCACAATAGGGTTGCATTCAACCCACCAATTAGCATGATTATTCTTGATCTTTATATTGATCTGTACATTTCTATATTTGTAAAATAGGTGAAATTCTGAATAAATTCTAAAAAAAAGAAGAAAAAAGTGCGGTTTCCTTGAAATATTCAGATGCCCTCAAGTCCGTTGCTTGATGCTCCGATACTTGGAATCCTCGATAGATCCAAAACATTTTACGCTATGTTAAGAAATGTGGCAACGTCCACATACTCACGAATCATTTTCACCGTTCGATGACTCACTGAGAAAAAGCATTTGAAATCTCGTTTTTTCACCCGATTTTACGTTTGATTTTCACCCGATTCGACATTTGATTTTCCCCCAATAGTGGCTCAACAGGCTTTTCCTTCGAAGAGTTGGAACCTCATACATCGGCATCGATTCTCTCCTTTTCGTCAATGTCCTGTAAATTAGAATGAAGAGCTTCTAGGTTATACCTCCAATAAATGTTCGTCATTTAGGTAATCATCACCGCAGGCTGTTACATCATTAAATTCTTAGGCTCAAAAAACCACGATTACTAATATAATTTATTGTAACTTAGAAAAATGTGGAATCAAAAAGGCACAAATCGATATTTCTCTCTCTAAAATCTACGGAATAATACATCGTGTAAAAATTGTGTAAAAAATTCAAAACATCGTGTAAAAATTCACAAAGAGAGGGATCCGAAAAAAGAGATTCATAATGAAGTTCGGCCGACAGTGTTTGATTGATACATTTATTTTCTTTACATGTTAGATACATTTAGATGCCTACTACTAGACTTTAGATGCAATTTAAAAAAAGACGATAACATTTTACATACAATTTAATGGTGTAAATGAATTTCTTACGATTGCATTCGTCAAAATAATTTTTTAAGCAACTGTTTTATTCGAGTTTCATTTAAGCCGTCGTAGATTGTCTCTGTCTATTACCCTCGTGTGTTAATTTTTTTTCATCATACTCTCTAGAAACTCAAATCAATGGAGAATCTGCACACATTTTCCATCGCTTCATCTGAGAGTGCTTAAGGAGCTGATTTCGCAGTATTTTTTTCAATTCTGCTCTTGTATGGGAAATAGTATCAAAATAGATTTAAAAGTGAAAAAATGCACCACCCAGTGACGTCATCTGGCGGCACTCCCCCTTTAACACATGTATTTTAGCAGATTAGATCATTTTGTCACATCTCCTCCTATAATTGTTCAATTTATGAGCCGATGGTATTCTTGTGTTCAGTTCACTCGGCGGTTTCCACTAAAATACGAATGTCATCAAATTTTGCACTTGCAAATTCTCCATTGGCTTGATTATGAATTGATGATCTTCCATATCAGCACAATGTGAGAGAGCTTACTCCGTGTTTTTTACGGGTGCTCTTGCGGATAAGGGTACAATACCGAGACGGGCTTTTCGATGGATCGATTTAGCTACCATTTAAAGTCATGGAAAATGATAATTTATCAGGATATTCACAACAAACGTCTGAATCACTCTCGTAGATTCTTTATCATCGCTAACAATTAGGAACAAGAGCCGAGGATTTCAGCTTCGATTCTACAGAACATAAGAGTATCTAGACACTCTGAGCGATGGGGGGGGGGGGGGAGCTTCGCCCAAAAAATTGTCGACAGTTAAAACATTCGACATGCAGTTTGAGTCGATCCCGTCATGGATAATTACCGAACGTAAGCGCCCTTCCGAATAATTTCTTCCGTTCTCTCCTTCATTCTTTCTTTTCTCTTTTCTCTTTTTCTCGGGAGAAGGGGGTAGGCAAACACCCCTAACGCCTCCCCTTTGATCCATCTATGCTGGAGAACAAGTGTTGCATATGAGATTAATGTATTGAAGAAAGTAAAATAAAATATGAAAGAGGACAGAATGCACAATATTTCATTTGGTCTATAATGATGAGTGCATTTATTTCTAACCTCGAGTTAGGTTAGGTCTTGGATTTTGCGGCATGTTAAGTTGGGTTCACTGCCGAATGTGATCTACTGATGAGGTCTAAAAAGGCCCAAACCGGTATAGATCTCTCGACGTGACTCCAACTTAATATTTCATTGCAAACTTTCTGAGCTGAACACTCTCCCCCCTCAGTTTCGTACTGGTGCGCATTAGAGTTCAAAAATTTAATATTGACTCTAATTTTAATTTTTTGAACTTCTTGGCTTTGTTTTCCCCGCAAAATGGTGTGGACACAGCACCATTTCTCCACCTTTATTTCTAACTCTACACCTCTTATTGGTACCGCTTACACTTACAAATTAACAGAAGAAATGGTGTATACAATGAAACTAAAACTTCAATTTATAAGGGGGAAGAATTATATCTACGCGTAAAAATTAGGGAGGAAAAACAGAGGTATCTTAGACGGCTAAAATATCATATGTATATATGAGTTTAACCGTGTTAAAAGTCAGTTTTTGCTACCTACCAAGATAAAAAAAATTGTTATTCTTCGACCCGCTCAGGAATCCAAGAAATGCGCTTTGAATAAAAAAATATGTAGCAGGAACAGTTCATCTTAAAGATCCTGCGCTGCTATCATCTTACAGTGTAGAAGTTCTTTACCGAGAGTCAAATCTTTTCAATTGCAGAGGGATAAATGAAAACCAATATGTGGGAACATCTGGTTCGACTAAAATCTAGTAAAGCAAACCCGGTTTGTAAAGTACCTGGTCCGACTCGAATGAGTCATCACTAGGGCAAAATGCTCGACAAAAAGATACAAAATCCATAAAAAATCTAATCTTTGAAGAAGAAAAGACAAATAACTAAACAAAAGTATGTCAATTACAATGATAAAATGATTAAACTAATTATCTTTGTCTTTAATGTAAACAATTTATATAACGCTATTTATCAAACAACTAGAAGTTAAAAATTAATTAAAATAAAATTTTTAAAAAATATAATTAAATACAGACTAGAAAAATTATATAAATTTAATATAAGTAAGGATGACAATCTTTTACCTTTTGTATCAGGGTTAATTAACAATTAGAAGGAGTTACCCNGGGGGGGGGGGGGGGTTATACTCAGGCGAAAAATGGTGTGATCTCATGTTGACGTTTTACGTTTGCCTTGCCCTGCAGCATCGTTTAAATGGGCCTGTTGCAAACTTCAGCCAGAGCAAAAAGAAAAGCTGCACGCACAACATTTAGGAAATATCTCAAAAATCACGATGAGCGTACCGGAAAAGTCTTAGAAATACTCCTATCTGCACAATGGGCCTGTTGCAAACTTTTGCTAGAGCAAAACTAAGAGTTGTTTCTTATAGATAATGCCTCAAAAATCACGATGAGCGCATTGGCAAACTCTGAAATGCACTCATAACTTCACAATCTGCGTAAGAAATTTGCGGTTTTTTGAGCTTCCCGCTTCAAAAACGATACTACGGCACAGGTGAACATTTTGTTAGAGGAGTCGCTCCATCGTCGGCAATATTCATCATGGCCGACGCTTGCGCAGTTCTGCGCGTAATTCGAGGAGAGTTCAAGGTCAATCAAGGCGGGCGAGAAAAATATGAACGTAAACACGCCGATTGTTACTTGGTCTAATCCTGTTCAGGTACCATCTCGTACCATCACACGTGTTTCGGCGGATTGGCGTCGGCCATGATGAGTATTGCAGACGATGGAACGACTCCTCTAACAAAATGTTCACCTGTGCCGTAGTATCGTTTTCGAAGCGGGAAGCTCAAAAAACCGCAAATTTCTTACGCAGATTGTGAAGTTATGAGTGCATTTCAGAGTTTGCCAATGCGCTCATCGTGATTTTTGAGGCATTATCTATAAGAAACAACTCTTAGTTTTGCTCTAGCAAAAGTTTGCAACAGGCCCATTCGCGAGAGAAACATGCGTTTTTTTTTGTTTTTTTTTTTTAAGATTCCTACTTCCAAAACGATACTAACGCACGGTGAATATTTCTTGAGAAGAGTTGTTCCATCCAGCACTGAATTTCCAGAAATTCCAAATTCCAGAATTTGAACTGCCCGCTCTCAAGAAACTCAAAGCTCTACGTGAGTCAAATCGCTCACTACAACGGTTTCAGAAAGCTTCTCAATCGAGCAATGTTCATTTCCCACCATGTGTTGTTCGAACTATAGGTAAGCAATTTGCTATAGCTGAGCCAAAGCGTCAAGATTGAGGTTGCCAGATTTTTATACAGCAGAGACTGTCATAATGACATTCAGTGCGCGATGTGAATCACGTAGAGGATTGAGTTTTCATGAGCGGGTGGTTTGAATTCACGTATCAAGAATCGTTAAATATCTTTGGAAGGAGTTGAATTCGGTAATTTTCGTTGTGCGCGTCGTATTCTACGTGAAATTTTAGTTACGAATCATGTATCAGAATGCTGAAATTCGGTCCTTGTCTAGTGGTCCATTCTGTTGTCAGGAGACTAAAGCACTCACTTACCGATTTTAACGAAGAAATTCAACGTAATAAAGGCATGGTTTTTTCAGAGAGAAAACATCGCATTCGATACTGATATCGAAACTGCACTCAAATGCGATATTTTCTCTCTAAAAAAACCACGCCATTATTACGTTGAATTTCTTTGTTAAAATTTGTAAGGGAGTGCTTTAGTCTCCTGACAACAAAATTGCGATCTCAAAATCGGAGAAAAATGACGAGTAGCTGAAAAAATGGAACCAATCGATGCGACATATCGAATGCCGTTCTGACACAAAACATGGGGTCCATCGAATCACCTTAACATTTACATTTTCTTTGCGTTGCTAAACCCATGCTAAATAAGAACGCCGTATGAGCCTCCAGACGTTGCCAAATTTCCTTCGATAAAAACCGAATTTACTGATAAAATTATGAAAATTTTTTCTCAAAATTTTCAGACAGTTTGGTACGCAATTTAATCTACAATATCTGAAAATCTAAGGGGAAAATGTGCATGAATTTCCTCAAAAACACATGTTTTAGCAAGGGAAAGAGCCGTATGCAAAAACGACATTTTTCGCCCCCCCACTAAAACTTATTCAAACTTCGTCTATCAATTACTAATACTGGAGCGCTTCTTTCCCCAAATTTTCAGACCCCCAAAAAATTTTGGGGGAGCGCTAGGGGGGGTGGAAGTCAAAACCTGTGACCCACAATATCTTTCGAACGAAAAAAGATGTTGAGGCCCGATTTGGACAAAAAATCGTCTAAAATTGCGTACTTTAAGATTCTAAAGGTCAAAATCCCAAAATTAAATTTTTAACTTAACTTATGTGCTTTTTTCAGTTTTTGAGGAAAAACAATTTCTTTTAAACAGATTAAACTGAAATTTGAACCGAACGGTTCCGGAGTTATGATCGATTGAAGTTTCCGCTCAACGCGCGCCGACCGATTTTCGCGCGCAAAAAAGTCGGATTTGACTGTTATTAAATCAGATTTAAGGTTCAAACTGAGCAAAATGCATTATTAGGGACTCTTGAGGGTCGCTGAGTCCAGAAATTACAGATACTTCCAAAAAATTTACGTTTTCAAAATTACAGCTCCGTAGCGCTATTTTAGAGGCCCACTGTGCGCCGACCGGCCGCTCAGTGGTCCTGTACGGAGCTGTAATTTTGAAAACGTGAATTTTTTGGAAGTATCTGTAATTTCCTGACTCAGCGACCCTCAAGAGTCCCTAATAATGCATTTTATTCAGTTTGAACCTTAAATCTGATTTAATAACAGCCAAATCCGACTTTTTTGCGCGCGAAAATCGGTCGGCGCGCGTTGAGCGGAAACTTCAATCGATCATAACTCCGGAACCGTTCGGTTCCCCAGCTTATACGACCACTCGTTGGATGCGGAAAAAGACGAACAATTTAAAAAATTGGTTTTGGTTCAAATCAAGAAATGTAAAATTTCAGTTTAATCTGTTTAAAAGAAATTGTTTTTCCTCAAAAACTGAAAAAAAGCACATAAGTTGAGTTAAAAATTTAATTTTGGGATTTCGACCTTTAGAATCTTAAAGTACGCAATTTTAGACGATTTTTCGATGGGGGTCTGAAAATTTGGGGAAAGAAGCGCTCCAGTATTAGTAACTGATAGACGAAGTTTGAATAAGTTTTAGTGGGGGGGGCGAAAAATGTCGTTTTTGCATACGGCTCTTTGGCAACTCTCGAATGTTCATACGGCGTTCTTCCTTAGCACGGCGGCATGGTGCTCCATCACGGTTTGCGTGCGGGGGCGTCAGCCATGTTGTCCATCGTGCGGCATCCTAGTAGTCCAGTCAATTTAGCAATTTTCTGGGAAAATCCATTTATAGAAGGTTTTTTTGCGGAAACATGTTACAATAGGCTATCAGAACAACGTATCGAAAGTTTACCGAAATCGGCTGTCCGCTAAGGTCGCCACCTTGGAAAAAGGGGGGCGGGGGGCCAAAATACGACGCCGGCTACTGGTTTTTAGCTTATTTCTTGAAAAATATCAATCCTACGGACAAATGTCAAAGTACCCTTTAAAAGGATCATAAAATTTTCTATTAGAAACCTTATGCGCAAGGGTTGAACGGAACGACTCCTCTCACGAAATGTCACTTGTGCAGAGGTATCGTTTTTGATGCGGGCGGTTTAAAACCGCATATTCCTTACGGTGATAGTGAAGGTAGGCGTGTATTTCAGACTTTCCCGATGCACTCATCGTATTTATTGAGTCATTTCCCTTAAGGTGCGACCCTTCTTTTCGCTCCAGCTGAAGTTTGCAACAGGTCGATTAGAAACGCGAGAGGGCTCTTGGTGACATTTGGGCGGAGTTAAACAGAAAGGAACCAAGTCACATCGGGATCGAACCGAGAAAAAGAGGTTTAAAGTTTGGCTCCTGCATAAAACTCAATGTAAACGATAAACTTCAAGTTCAATTTCTGCAAAATTTGCTCCGACAAAAACTTTGAATTTTTAGCGATAGATAGTAGAGCAGTGGTTGAGTTCAAAACCACTCATAATGGACTACTGGACAAGATACGAATTTTAGCATTCTGATACATGTTTCTTAACCCGAATTTCACGTAGAACACGATTCGCACAACGAAAATTACTAAAACAAACCCTAACGGAGATATTAACATTTTTATTTCACATTGGTTACGAGGAATTTGAACTGCCCGCTCACAAGAAACTCAAAGCTCTACGTGAGTCAAATCGCGCACTACAACGCTTTCGACAATCTTCTCTATCGAGCAATGTTCATTCCCCACCATGAGTTGTTCAAACTATAAGCAATTTGCTACAGCTGAGCCAAAGCGTCAAGATTGAGGTTGCCAGATTTTTATATCTCAGAGACTGTCATGATAAACGTTTAGCGCGCGATATGAATCACGTAGAGCATTGAGTTTTCATGAGCGGGTGGTTTGAATTCACGCATCAAGAATTATTGAATATCCTCGTAAGGATGTGATTTCGATAATTTTCGTTGTGCGCATCGTGTTTTACGTGAAATTTTGATTGAGAAACATGTATCAAAATGCTGAAATGTGCACCGTGTCTAGTTGTCCATTCAATTTTTCCCAAAATGTGGGTTGGCTCCTTTCTGCTTAACTCAGTCCATTTTTCCCCCGGTTAAGGGCGTCGAGCAGGAAATTACCGTGGGCCACTGTGAAAAACTCGGATGCAAAATTCCCATCCTCGTTCACCCCCACGAACCAACCCTACGGTGTTCACGGGGGGGAAACGTGGCACTTTGTTGGCCACCAATTTGTTGGCCGCCACCTCCTTGGCCGCTACCTCTTTGGACGAAACTTCCGTGGCCGCTACTTCTTTGGCCGAAACTTCCTTGGGCGCCACCCCCTCGGCCCCCACCTCCTTGGGCGCCCCCACTTCCTCGGCCGCCGCTCCCTTGAAAGTTAGGCGGGGGCGGTGCCGGTGTTGATGGTGACCCACCTTTCGCAAGACTGGCAGCTCGTGAAAGATAATCCATGTCCCGCTGCACTCGCAACTGGATCCGCCGGTTGTCTTCCTCTCGTTTCTTCTGCGCGATGATTTCATTCGCGCACCTCTTCAGGGTGACATGCACCGAGCTGTATGTCCAACAATTGAACATCCTCTTGGGCACGGCTACAGCGCAGGTATACCAACCGTCGATGAGCACGCAATTTGGACTGCGGGCGTTTGGACACGTTTGCTTGTACTCCGCGGGGAGGGCGTTGAAGGCGTTGAAACCAGTTGCGCACTCCTGAACCGCCTCAGTGTTGGTCGGTGACGGAGTCTGCCCAACGCGGCTACTTCGGGGCCCCGGCGGAAACGCCTGGTTTAATCGTAGACCCGCTTTCTGTTTGGCGATCTGGTACCGCCGGCAAGGGTCGTCCGAAGTGTCCTGATCAGTGCTAAACTCTCCTTTTTCAATCCTCGCCAGCACCACCTCTCGGTTTCCTTCCACAGTGTCGAGTGGGTCGGCCCCCTCTCTGGATCTATTTTCCTGCAAACAGACGAAAGCTACACGGTTAAAAGTGTCCGCGTTCGACTCTGCGTTGCTTTGCGTTAGTGGAGATGTTGCATGTGTGAGGGATTTGCGATTTGACCATTGATTCTTATGTAAAAGTTCGCGAGAGAAAAGATGATGCCACTGGTTTTCTCTGAAATCAACTCCCAAGCTCAAAAAAAGCTCTCGAGTTGAGGCCAAAATGGAGGGAATATCCCGCCCTACCCTGAGAGTCTACCTCTACATCAAAACAAACTCTCCATGCAAAGATAGGGAGCAAATACATTAGCAGTGATGCCATTTTATTTGGGGACTCCACGACTGAAAACACGGCATCACTGCTAATGTATTTGCTCCCTATCTTTGCATGGAGAGTTCGTTTTGATGTAGATGCGGACTCTCAGGGTAGGGCGGGGTATCCCCTCCATTTTGGCCTCACTTTGAGAGCTTTTTTGAGCTTTGGAGATGATTTCAGAGAAAACCAGTGGCACCATCGTGTTTCTCGTGAACTTTTACATATGAATCAATGGTCAAATCGCAAATCCCTCACACATGCAACATCTCCATTTTTCCGTCAGGTCAACCCAGAGTCCCTTTATACTGAGAGTCAAGACAACGTGAATCCATTTCTGATTGTTTCCCGTATTTTAGGCCTCCACAGTGTCACAAACGGGAATAAAGATTACGTTTTCACCGATTGCAAAGGTTGTAATCTGGAATGGACCAGGGAATTACGGGTTTGGCAAGGAACAAACGGAATGAGAGAAGAAACTGAGGAAGGAATTTGAGAATGGGCCGATCAAAGAGTACGAAAAACGTTCAATTTCTGTAATCTTTATTCCCGTTTGTGACTCCATGAGGGGGTGTTGTCTTGACTCTCAGTATAAAGGGAATCTAAGTCAACCTACAGGACTCGGTACAGGACTTCTGTGTCAAGAAGGTTTTCTCCTTAAATCGACCCAACCTATAAGATACGTCCTGCCGGCCCTATACTCGAGTTCCCCTTTCGTTCCTCAGAGGTCACGACCTGCGCTGCCGTGGAGAGTGCGGTAAGTGCAAAAATGAAGTTTTGAGAGAACGAGCTCAGAAGCTTCTGACCGGACAATTTTATTGAAAGAAGCCTCCGTTCTTTGTCAAATTGCCGCTAACTGTCCGAATGATTCCTAAAAATCGATTGATCGACTGATTTTATGTTAATTACATAAAATAGTATTTTTCATTTTCATGCTAGGCTATCGTTAGGCAAGACAGCCGTAAGAGGTATCCTCTGCATGCTTTCGTGGTTGGTTTTGAACACACTACAAACACATTTTCAGGTTTACCTATTGGGAGAAGAGGGCGGCACTTTTCTTGAGAGAACTGTTTTCATTGGCTCTATGGAGGAACAATGTCACTTACTGCTGTCTTGCCTGAAACTACGGCATTTCTCGCGCGCTTACGGCTTTTTCGTATGTCTCGTTTTGATACAATTAAGATGAATTTTGCAGTTTTAGCAATTTCAATGATTTCATCTAAAAGAGATAAGACGAATTTCGAAGGAGACTCGATTTCGAAAATGTGACACTTACTGCTCTCTTTACAATCACGGCAGTGCGAGTGGCAAGCGCATTGGTATAGAAATCCTTAAAACATAGATAAAAATCATAATCTTTGTATTTAAATTTATAGAGCTAAATTTAAATTGATTAATATAAAAAATTTTGTACTTAACCAAAGCATTAACAATTATAGGGATAATTCGAACAATTACCCAACTGATTTCATATGAGATTAATCCAATTATAATTTTAATTTCTGTAGTTATAATTACAGAACAAATAAACTTTATTAACATGGGAAAAATTCAAAAATATGCATATGTTTTGATAATTTTATTTCCTTTAGTACTAGTTTGAATAATTACAATCTTAGCAGAAACTAACCGAACCCCCTTTGATTTTTCAGGAAAGAATCGGAGTTAATTTCAGGACTTTCTTATCTTCGATAAGATCCACGTTCGATCCTGGAGGCCGGCGACTAATTTTAACGAGGTCCCAGATTTTTAACACAAAGATTTGGTCAAATTGACACAGGGGACACTAACACAAAAAAAAAAAAATCAACCAACACCTAGTGTTACTTTGTGTTCCACTTCCTATACTAACACAAGAATGTGGTTACTTTTTCTCGCCGTGTATGAGGCAGACGTACGATATAAGAAGCGTAATATTCCAATTGCTCATTAAAACTCTATGATAAAAAATCGACGCGCAAGGTGGCAAGCTTTTCACAAAAAAAAAAATGAAAAGAAAAAAAAACCTTCACAAAGGAGGAAGGGAGAGAGGTAATGGGGGAAAGTAGAAGGTTAGGAACTCTATTACGGAGCACTTTGTTACGGGTATGCGTCAAGGGAGAAAGGGAAGTCAAAATTTTAAATTTTCATCGCTGCATTGATTATACTTCCAGAAAGCTACTTTCTGCCGTAAAAATCAGCAGTTTATCCTGTCCTAATCGCAAAGAACGGAGTTTATAAAAAGCGTATCGAAAAATTCGATTATCCGGAAGAAATTCAAAACCATCGAAATGATGGAGCATTCTCAGAGGGAATTCTCTACGTAAAGATGGAAAACACTTTAGCGTATACTTCAGCGCACATACTTTAGCGCACTTACTTTAATGTACATATTTTAACGTAAACGCTTTGGCGGATGCACTTAAGCCTAAATTGGACTGCATTTTGCACTTTGGAACTACAAATTCCAGCCCGGTTCAAAAACAACGTATGTGCCATTAGTTTACCTATGCACATAAGTGTTTTTCGAGATGAGCCAGAATTTATAGGTCCAAATTGTAAAATGCAGTCCACTTCACGTTTGTATTCATGAATAGCAGGAAATTCTTCGTCGTTTGATAGTTCCAATGACGCACCTGTAATTCTTTTGACGTGTCTGTAATTCTGATGACAAATTCATCCCAGCGCTTATTGTTGACTTCATCAAGAAAGAAAAAATCAGGAAATTTTTCCATGAGTCCTAGAAGTATGTCTAACAAGAAGTCACGTCGGTCATGTTTTAAGAAAGAATTGTATCCATCCGGTGAAGAAAATAAAAGAAAAATTTCTGAAAAATCTCGGAAATTTACGTTCCATCATACACCCAAAACTCTGCATCTGGCGTACCGACAGATATTTTTGGCATTAACGATTATAATAACCTATCAATTCTATAGAGATTTTTGCTTTTCTCAGAGCATGAAAGTTATATGAATGAAAAGGAAGGCTAGGTGAAAAACGTCACCAGAATTACCACTAATCACGGTTTTTTTGAACACAAAACTCTGACACACACACACACACAAGACCCGAACGCGAACGTGCATGGCGAAGATATTACTCTCATAGCGGGATGCACACAACTTCAGATCACGTAATTTAGAAATGGTTGCGAAATAAATTATTTGTAAAATTGGGAGATATCCGTTCTCAGATTTTCTTGAAAATACTTAAATTTTATCACTGGAAATTTTGCACTTTCTGAAGGCTCGCACGACGTGAAAGTGAGATGTGAATTGTTTACGATTTCTAGGCGATGAAATCGCAAGGATCATCAACATTTGAGCGATTATCCTCGATCTTGTAGCTATTGTATATGTATGAAATTGCGTTCGATAAAATCGGAATTTGATCTTAATTTATCACGATTTTTTGTCCGATAAAATTGCGATGAATCGCCAAATCACGGTTTCATTGCAGATGTATGCGATGAAATCGCAATTATTTATCCGATAATATGTAAGAAATCGACGTCAATGAAATTACGATACCTTTTCGGATCAAATCGCAACATATCGTGATCTCTGACACTTGGGTTGGTAGATATTTTTGAAGGAAAAGTCTTATGATGATGAAATTTAAAATTTTGAAACGGAACGTCTCTTTATGAAAAATACAGGAGACACTTTACAACAAGCAGGTTTTTTTTGCCGGATATAACTTTGCTTCTGTCTGTTGGCAGCTCAATGATGGCAACTCAATAGGTTAATAATAATTATAACCCTAGTAGCGAGGACTGTAAAGAATCTTCTTTAAAAAAATTCGTAAATTTTAATTAAAAGATTCCTGATAAAAAAATAAAATTTACGGAGAAGAAAATCATTTTATCGGATTTTATTACGAAAAATTTACGTGAGGTCAAATTTAAGTAAAAAGACTTGTTGAAAAGAGACTCTTGAACATATTACGCTTGCTCTTTAACACTTTTGTCAGTAAATTTCACTTTAAAAAATTGTTTAAAACAATCACGTCTTCTTAAAGAGTTTTTTGTAAACACTTTTCTACTTTTAAATTTTGCCTCTCGTAATTTTTACGTGAAATAATCCCGAATAGAGTTTCCTTCTTCGTTAATTTTAACATATTTTTTAAGGTTTTATTCGAAAACGAATTATAACAACATAAATGCTAGTAGGGAAATGTTTGAATCAAATTCAGAAATAATTAGCGAGAAATTACAAGACTGGAAATATCTGTTGCATAAACTCACCACAAAATCACGAATGGGGTTGCGCCGCGGAGTCGAAGTCGGCACGCGCTGCTGCGACGGTCTCATGGCCTTAGAGTAATAAACAGTTACGACCAATGCAACTACAGTTAACATGGATATGGATCCCATATTCCGATTATTCTTTACACCTCGAAATAAGAGTGAATACTAATTGTCGGAGCTTTGAAATAAGACGACGCTTTCCATAATTTCAAGTTTAGAGCGTTGGTCTTGACGATTGCTCAGCTTCCAATAACTTTCACGCACTAATCTATATCTACAGAAACCAATTCCTTTATACATGAAGCGGGGGGATAGTCGAAATGGGTTGGAGGATCCTATCCATCGTGGCAAACCAATCGAGTCATCCCGCAGATCTCATTACTCTCCTCACAAATTGCGACAATTATAGACTACGTCACGTGCGCAACGACGATTTGAGGTACCACCGCGACAGAGGAAGAGTTGATACGGGGCTTT